AACTGTTGTATGATGAGGGATTTATAGACGAGATACCACCCTGGTACTCACCCGACAAGCCGAAGCCCGTGTATGAGTCAGAGAATGTTAAAGCTTATTGGGATGTCCCTATATATGCTGATCAACAAGAGGTCAGATGCAATAGGGTGGATGCACGCATTGTAAATCATATGTGCAAGAGAGTTGTGACGCTGGAAATGAGCTGCCCGTGGGTTAACAATCGGACAAGAAAGGATGAAGAGAAGACACTGAAGTACGGACCCCTTCGCTGGGAACTAAGGCAGCAGTTCCCAGGCTACGAGGTGAAGCAATATAACATCATTATGGATGCCCTCGGGGGGTGGTCACGGGAGCTGGATGTCATGATGCGCAAGCTGGTGGGAGGCAGAAGCACAGACGTACTGCGAAAGATGCAGAGGGCAGTGCTCTCGGGCACGCTGAATATTGCCCGGACTTTCAAGGTGGTAGTTTGACTTTCTGTTAGAAGGAGGACCGTAGACACAACGGAAAAGCTTTTTAGGATTAGTTAATGTACATTTATTTTTACTCCCATGGCTCACAGGTTACGGTTTTCGCCCTGTGCTGCCTGATTAGAATGTAGCATTCACTTGATTTCTCTGCGACATAATAATAAAATAGATTTTTGTGAAGCATATTTCTGACCCCAATGCACTTTACAATATGAAAGCCCATTAAAAACCTTGCAATAAAGCTTTAATAGTCCTAAATGTCAAGCATGAATCAATTAAAATATTTTTTAAAAAGAAGTTTTAAGTTTTGTTTTAAATGTAGCAATACTGTCCACATTTTTGATATATTCTGGGATGGTGTTCCAAAGCTGAGGTGCTGCAGTGGAGAACGCGCATCCTCCATACGTTTTGGATTTTATGGCTGGAGTGTATAATAATGAACAGGATGACGATCGTAGAGTTCTTAGTGGACGATAATCCTTGATCAGAGGTTTCAAATATCCAGCGGATTGTCCATTTAAGATCTTAAATGTGATAAGAAGAATCTTGAAGTGAATCCTTGCTTCCACAGGTAGGCAGTGCAGGCTCTTTATTAATGGTGTGATGTGGTCAAAGCTGCAGTGTTCTGAATTCTTTGTAGCTTATCTCTCTGGTATTTTGGGATGTCATATGAGAGACTTGCAATAGTCAAGCCTGGAAATCACAAGGGAATTCACCAACATTTTCAATCCATCAGAAGGAAGATACGATTGGATACGACCAATTGATCTTATGGCAGGACCAGCTTTCTTACACATTTCGTTTAATATGTTCAGTGAAAGACAAGGTGACACCCAGATTCCTGGGTTTTGTTTTCACTTCTACTGAGGTGTTAGCTAATGACAATGTTTCGTAAACTGTAGGTTGCTTGCTGAAATGGGATATGAAATGTAATATTTCAGTTTTTTCAGGTTGCACTTTAACATATTCTTAGTGTTCCATGAAAAAAGATCATTAGTGCATGCCTTTAGAGTATTGAAAGAGTCTATGGATTGTTTGGGATCATCAATACCAATATAAATTTGGGTGTCATCAGCATAGAACATGGAATTGAG